CAGAGTAGAACTGTGCCCCACAGGGTTCTCAGTGGATGATTTTTCATAAATTTTACTGATGATGCCCTCAGGTGTGTGTCAGAGAACTGTGCTCCAGTGTTTTCAAGGTTGTCATCTTTACATATTGCCTGCCCTTTGTCCCACTCAGCCCATGGGTAGGAACAAACCACCACCATTTAGATCACTGTCATTTGTAGAAACCTGGCGTTTACTAGGATTCACAATGACCCATGTCGTCCTGAGTTGAAGTGCCCTCTGTTGGGTTTTTGGGTCATCTTTACAGAATCTAAACACCAGGTCCTACTTCTACAGCAGGGAAGGATCAGACCTCCATCCTCTAGGTTTCTGTATAATCGATTCACACTCATAGCAACACTGTACTGTGCAGACAGGGTTTTTTAGAAACAAATCTCCAGTCCTTTCATCCACAGTCCTGCTGGGGAGATTCCAACTTCCAACAGTGACATTAGCAGTTGAGTACAAACTGTATGGGACACCCAGCTACCCAGGGCAGAATCTTGCCCTCAACAGGTCCTCTGTCTGTCTGTACTGGACAAAACTCAGTCTCTGTGCTGGCCATGAGCCCGCCGACCAAAGCTTTGAAGGACAGACACACTACCCTGGGAAGCGGCTGACCACAGCCTCCAACAGGAAGTACATTCTGGTCCACTGGAGGAGGAATTCATATCTGAGAACCCACTCAGAAAACCCTTTGCCATCGAGTTGATTGTGAATCATGGCAGCACCATTGCACAGAGTGGAATTGTCCCTGGGCATTTCTGAGGCTGTACATCTTCATGGAAGGAGCACTCAAGATATCAGACAATTTATTGAGTAAGACAAATCTGCTGCACAAAGATTCTTTAAAGAGTTTAAAAGCAAACACATCAGTATATGTATTGTTAATATATATAGATACACATGTACATGGAGCTCTGGTATCCGAGTGGTTACATATCGGGCTCCTAACCTCAAGGTCAGCAGTAAGAAACTACCAGCTGTTCCATAAGAGAAAAATGAGGGTTCTGCTCCCATAAATATTCACAGCCTCAGAAACCTCATAGAGGGTCGCTAGGAGTTGGAACCCACTGCACAGCACACCACCACCACCATAGATATGTACGCTGGTAAGCGCCTTCGAGTCATCTCCACCCCATAGGGGCCTTGCCACATTCATTAACGTATTTCTTACAGAATTCCAATTAGTACACATAGAAGAATTGACTGGAACACAAAATTTGGGAAACACCACAGTAATCATACACAGGTAGTAATTATCAATGGCTTTGTTGTAGTTGTTAGGAACCATCGAGTCAGGACCGACTCACAGAGACCTTATGCACAGCAGAATGAAACACTGACACATCCAGGGCCAACCTCACTACTGTTGTCACGCTTGAGTCCATCGATGTTGCCACTAGGTCAATCCATCTCGTTGGGGGTCTTCCCCTTTTTCTCTGACATTCCATCTTACCAAATATGTTATCGTTCGCTGTGGAGAAACAGTGGACGGGGAGCTACAGGTTCACAATTCAAGTCCACCAGCTGCTCTGTGGGAGAAAGATGAGGCCTTCTGGTTCTGCAGAGATTTAGAGCCTCAAAAACCCTACAGAGAGTCACTATGAGTTGAAACAGACTTGACTGAATGAACAGAAAGTCAAAAGTATTATAGAAATCAGAATATCTGCATTTTCAAAGTATCACCCTATGAGACACTACGTATAAAATTAAGAACAATGAGCTCAAACTATGACAGAAATGAAGGAAATGTATGAAAATTAAACACTCTTAAATGCAGTACAACATCAATGTAATAAAGTATGCACAATATAATGCGGAAGTCCAGCTCTCACAGGGTTGTGAGACTTGAGAGGAGACGCAGAATTGGTGAAACTGAAAGTAATCGGGGAGTCTCTGCTTTGTTGGCTGATGAAGCCCACTTCCCCCGCTCAGCAACAGTCTTTATTTATACTTAAAGTTACACAATACATAATGATTTGACACTTTGGTATTTTCCCTTGAATTATTACACATTTTTAATTACATCATTTTTTTCATCTTGTGATTATAAAATCTTAACAAAAGTATTTCTATAATGTACCCCCTGACCTTTCCATATCCTGTTCATTTTCTGACCATTAAATATTTTTCTTCTGACATCATCTCCTTTTCTACGTAAGTGATAGATTGTTTTTCCTATTCCTACTAAAAGGTCAAGTTAAACTTTATACAAATCATTTCCGCCTCCCAAATCCCTGATTACATTCTCTAATATAAGTTTCTATCAACTCAATCATCTTTGCTTA